CGGTTGGTTGGCAAACGCAGGTACCTTAATTGGCCAGTGGCCCGCGAGCCGTATCAAGGTAGACCCAGGTAATTCGAGCGGCTCTATCGCATTCTGGTGGTTTTTGCTTTTTGCCCGTTATTTTCCCTCCTCTCCCCGTAGCGTGGTGCAGCGTAGCGTAGCATGTACCTGCTAACTTCCACACCTGGGTACCGCGGTACATGTCCCTCGGCCCTGGCTCCCGCCACGACACAGGTACCTCGCGCAGGTACCTTACCTTACCTGCGCGCTGCCATTGTGCTTCGTCTCGCACACCTGCATCGAGGCACGCTTGCCAGGGACAGACATGGCACACCCGCCTAACTCGCTCAGGGCTGGTGTCAGCGGATGCTGCTGTGATTCTCAGCGTCCCGTCGCTTATCCCCGCTTTCTTGACTCGCCCACCCACGCCCCCGACAGCGAAACGGTGTCGCCCGGCCCCGACACCAATTAACCACAGGCAGGCCCAGCCCAGTGTCGCCTTCTCCCCAGCAGCTGCCAACTTAACCCAACTCGACCTGACTTCCGTTCACCTCAGTCTTCCTCTTTCTCCCCTTCCCACTTCCCACTTCCCATCATCTCGACCTCGTCATCGTCTGGGAGCTCTGTTTCCGACGACCATGGGCACTTTGGTGACCTGATCGTTCGTTATTACGTCGTCGCTAGGAATAGTCATTTTCAGTTGATGGGCTTCCTCGCTCTCTCTCGCTCTCTCACCCACTTCTTTTGCTCTGCTGCTTCCCACACAGCCAGATCGAGTAATAGCGCTCGCCACCACTCCCACCTGGTCTAACCATACCACACAGCCGCTTCCTCGCCATCTACCTCTCTCTGTGCTTCGCATCGCCAGCCGCGACTCCAGCCCGCCCTCCTCCCCACGAAGAAGAGTAGTAATGAACGGCTCCCCGGCCGCAGAATCGCAGAGTTCGCCTCGCCGTGTCGCATTCCCAGCCCTCGTAGCCAAGACTGCCCCTGTGGCCGGCCGAACGGGGCACCACGCTGCTCTGTCGGCTAGGCGCTGAAGGCAGTCGTCGCCGTCCCCTTCGCCATGTTTAACCAGCGCCAGTGGGAGCAGCTGAATGCTTTTGCCAACTCGTTTGCCGGGTCTGCTCCTTCGCAAAGCCAGCCCCAGGTCCAGGAATCTCGTCCCTTCCACGGCGGCAATCAGCATTCAATTCCTCATGCGCATCAGCAGCCGCAGCATCAGCAGCAGCCGCAACACAACCACAATGCGGCTGTCCACCACCACTTCCAGCAGCAACAGCAGCAGCAGCAGCAGCAGCAACACCACTTCCACCACCACCAACACCAACAGCAGCAGCAGCCGCAGCAGTATGGCTTCTCGGGACAGGATGAATGGTCAGGGTTTGGAATGCAGGCATCTCATGCGCCCTCGGCAGCGGCCTACTCGACAGAGAGCCACCCAAGCATAAAGCGTGAGGTCAGCATGTCTGGAGATATGGACTGGACCCCGAGCACCGACTACAGCAATGGCTTCCAGCCTGATGGGTTTGGCGCAGTCCAGAATGGCGGGGCCATGGACTTTACTAACATGGGCTCTTTCAACGACAATGGAGCCAATGCGTTTGGGCACACCAATGGAGAGCAGACGGGTGCGGGCAATCGGAATAGCGGCGGCGTTGGCCGGCTGGTTGCTCATTTTGAGAACAAGAACCCGAGTCCTCCTCCTATGCTGCCACCTCGACCGTCAAATTCGGTCACGAGTCCTATTGCGACCAATAATCATCTGCACCATCAAAACCACCAGGAACAGCCCACGTCTTCGTTTGGTAGCTTCAATGCGTCCGCACCGAGCAATTCATTTAACAGCAACTCGTTTAACAGCAACCGCTTTCCTGGTTCTATCGAGACCAATTTTGGCTCTTTCGGCGGTCACCAGTCGCGTGTGACAAGTCCCATTGCCACAAGCCCTCCTCCTATGAACTACGGCAGTTTTCAAGACGCCTCTTGTGTCACCAGCCCGACCACCAATGCTCCTGTCGGAGATCCTTTTGAGAGTCTTGATTTCATGACTGCTAATCAAATGAACCATGGGCATCACATGACAACCAGTTCTATGGTTGGCTCCCCTGCTCCAACGACACCCGGCGCAGGATTGACGGCTGGTACTCCCGGCTTTGCAATCTGGCGGCCCCCTGACTCGCAACACGTTCAGCAGCATCAGCCACCAGCCGCCCATCCTCAGCTCCAGCAGAAGATTCAGACACAGAATCTGCAGCCCAGCCCGAATCCCAAAACCCCATTCAGCCAAGCAAATAGCCCCAGTGGTTATTTCCGACCTCCTGTCCCTACTACTCCGAAACCACCAATGCCAATTGGAAATCAGTTCATCCTGGAGTTGAATCCTGGCTCCAAAGTCAAGGGAAAAGCACCGGCCAAGCCACCCAAACCCCGTGCGCCAAAGCCCGCCGCCTCTTCTTATAGTACAACTGTGAAGCAAGAGCCTTCCACCCCCCAGATGTCAGAAGTCCCTTCGACATCTAATGGGTTTTCGGTAAGTTTATTTTATGAGTAGTGTTTGTATGCATTCTGTTTGATCGTTATCTAACCTGCGGGATTAGATGATGAGTGGTGATCCGGCTGCATCTCGTCCTCCGCCGATCAACCGGCCTTCTAGGGAGCAAGTTCCTGCTGAGGCTTGGGAGGGATTCAAGACCACTATCCGGGATCTCTATCTGGAACAGCGGAAGCCGCTAAAAGAGGTCATGTCTATCATGGCCGATAAGTACAATTTTCAGGCAACGTAAGATTGGCCCCTTCGCAGTGACCTCAACCAGGATTTAGTGCTTACACAGGAATACGATAGTCCCAAGATGTACAAGACTCGCTTCTCACAGTGGGGTTTTGTGAAGAATAACACCGAGGACGAAGTGAAGCGTTTGCTGTCCATGAAATTCCAACGTGATGCCGAGGGCAAAGTATCCGAGTTTGTTCGAAACGGGAAGATTGTTAATCTGGGTACTTACTTGAAGCGAAAGGGAGTGACGGAATATGATTTGGTCGACTTCGAACTCCCCGCTGATCTTCCTTCGCACGTTCGCTGCCGGACACCGACCCCGCCTCCTGCGCCAGAATACCTCAAATCACCCGATCTCTTGAGAGCGCAGGAACTCATCGTCGGTAATACGAGGAAAGCCTTCTTGCAGGGCCGACAGGTGGAACTGGAGATTGAGCACCAGGTCGGATGGGCTTCCATCATGGTTTGGGGTGCACCTTCGAGCGATGCCCTCACTGAAGCCAACTTCTTCTTCGAGGCTGGCGATGTCGAACAAGGCGGCAAGTCTCTGATGAATGCTTTCAACCAGCTCGAGGTCGACTTGAGGCAGCTTTCGCCACTGGGCCTTATCGAGGTGATTCTTGGAATGGTCCGAAGAGACCCGGGGTTGATGACTGCCCTGTCCAAGTTTGTATCTGCTTTTTCCACAACGAATTATGAGAGAGCCCACCCATTGCGATGTATCTTTGGCTGTCTTTACGAGATGCAGCAGAAGCACGGTGCCGTGACATTGTCGGATATGCTCTGGGCCAGCACCCCTCTCATTGCGGATGAGCTCGAGGCCATCTACGGACACCGACACCCATATGTGACTAGAACCTTGATTGATCTTGCCTTGGTGCATGGTCACAAAAACCCGGAACGCTTGGAAAAACTGGTTCTCGAATTACGGGTTCTTCACCGCCAGATGGAGCAGCAAGCTGGAGCCGATAATGGGGATCTCATGTCCCTCCGCTTTGCGATAGCCCAGATGCTGTATGCAGCCAACAGCGAGTCGGATGCCTCGAAGCAATCTGCAAACGACCTCTGGAAGGAGATGAAGAAGATGAACCTGGTTTTCCGTGTACGGGACCGCCCCAACACATTCTGTTATCACTGCCCCGTGAAGGTGGACCCCTATACGAAGCGTTGCCGCCGGCAATACGACTCGGTCGTCGAATTACTCGAGAAGCATGTGGCAGTCAAGGTTCTACCCTACTTTGAAGAAGACCACCACCTGCATACACACGAGTCAGACTCTCAAGAATCTTGGGCTTCCGCCATGAGCCAGTCTATGAGCCAGCCCATGGGAGGCGCGAGCAGATGGGGAGGATTCATCTAGCTGATTCTGAAGGTCTTGACTCTATCCTTCCCAGCAGCTCTAGATTCCTTTTTTTTTTTCGAACAAAATTATACACCACCTGAGCGCCCAAATATACCAACCAAAGGGGCAAGATATTTAAAATCCTTTTCTTGATGCTTATACCACGGAGTTTTCTATGTTATGGGGTGGGAATATTTATCTGGTCGCTGCATTTTATGGGAGCGAGGGATGGGTTACATCAGGTGGATATTCACGAAGCGATCTGTATTTTGCGGACGGTACAGACAATGGCGAACGGCCTGGACGATTGGGTTTGATACCCAGCGAAGGTTTTAATGTGATTGCGATACGTTCATGGCTGGCGTTTGGGAGCTTTTCACCGCGACGTATGTATGGGACTTCGTTCTTTTTATCTTTTATTTTGTTATGCGGACGCATATCTTATTGTATGATTACACTACGGGATAGGATATCTGGCGTTGGGATGGAGGTATTTAGTAGAGGCACACGAGAGCGAGGGAGGTAAAAGATTCTCTGGATTTGGATACATGGAGAGGGCGGAGTGGGAGTCGGGGGTGCCGGTGTTGTCTGTCAGCTGGACTGGAAGGTCGGTTGTATATACCTTTGTGAGATCCCGGAGCAAATATATCGAACGAAACTTATTATCTCGTGCCCAACGGCTCTCCTGCGAATTAGATTTGGCTAACAGTAGTTGCAACGGCGTGCTCTTTCATCGTGGCGCAACGGTTCGAATGGTCTCTTGCCATTCGCCGAGCCAAGTCCGGAGCTAAAAAATCGCCGAACTCCGACACACTGCCTTGTCATTTTTTTCTTCGGTGCATCTAGCGTTGATGAGCATGCGACCATCGTCGAGCCCACGCCATGAGGGTACCCGCCACAAGCCAATGCCTGCGACAAGCCGTGCACCGAGTCCCTCCTCAGAGGAGATGGTTTACATGCGATCGTTTGATTCAGGGTGAGCTTTGACCATGATGGTCTTCCGCAATGTGTTCCGCCGCTGACCCCAGACCCATCTCCCAGAGCATGACGTCGTCCTCCTCCGCCAGCGAGGCGACAAGCGAGCAAAATGGAAGCTGACGCCCGCGCTGCGCGACGACGAGTCCCACCGGATCAAACTCAGCTACGGCGCCCACGTCCGCGCGCAGGACCTGATCGGCAAGCGGTACCTCGACACCGTGACCGACTCGGCGGGCCGTGAGGTGGCCATCCACGAGGCCAGCATGGCGAGCTACATTGTCAACAGCGAGCGCATGGCCACGCCCATATACCCGCAGGACTGCAGCGTCATCGTGTCCATGCTGGACCTCAACCCCGAGCGGCCCGGGGAGAACGACGACGACGACGGGCTGTTCGAGGTGTTCGAGGCGGGGACGGGCATGGGGAGCTTGACGATGCACATCGCCAGGGCGCTCCACGCTGCCAACCCGCCCATGAGGAAGGATCTGAGGGATGCGGTCGCCACGGCGAGTCTCGAGAGGAGGGCGCCGGCGCCGGGTGGAGAGGCCGTGGCCGATGCCGAGATTGAGACATCCGGCGCCGAGAAGCCTGCCGAATCCGTACCCAGGGATGAGAACGAGGTCTCGCCATCCACCGACTCCGAGCTGGCGACGCCCGAGCCGTCCAGCCCGGTCCCCAGCGACATCGAGAGCAACCCTACGACGCCTGCACTAGACCAACAACCCCCCATCCAGACCATGACCCTCTCCCGCCTCGACGTTGCCCCCAACATCGCCAAGGACCTCGCCGACTGGTCCTCCTCCCGCCGCGCAGTCCTCCACACCCTCGACCGCAACCCGTCCCACTCCCGCGCGGCATACAAGCTCCTCCGCCGCTTCCGTCGCGCCATCTACCTCCCCTCGGTCGACTTCCACATCGGCTCCATCAGCGACTACCTCACCCCCCGACTCGCCTCCTCCCTCGGAGTACCCTTCCTCTCCCGCGCCGTCCTCGACCTCCCTTCCCCAGAGTCTTTCGCCGACCCCGTCGTCCGCGCCCTCAAGCCCAACGGCCTCCTCGTCGTCTTCAACCCGAGCATCTCCCAGATCGCAGACTTTGCCAAGTGGGCCGTCACCACCCGCCAGCCCCTCCGCCTCGAGCGGACCGCCGAGCTGCCGAATTCTTTCCTCGTCGCGGCTGATGAGCCGACGGCCAACGACTGCGGGGGCGGGCGGCCGTGGGACGTGCGCACCGTCGTGCCCAGGAACGCCGCGTCCGAGGGGGATATTGTGCAGGTGATGCGGCCGAGGGTTGGGGATCGGGTTGTGGGGGGTGGGTTTGTTGCCGTGTTTAGGCGGTTGAAGCCGATGGATGGCGTCAAGGAGGAAGAAAAAGTGGAAGAGGAGAAGGTGGAAGAGGAGTGATGAGGGCTGGGTGATGTTGATGTAGGTATACGATTGTACGATATGAGCCTGTGTTTGTATTATAGATCGGGAAATCATGATAAATAAACCTGGGGAGAGAGAGTATAGCTCTAAATATTAATTGGGCTGAACAATGCCCTCGTTAAGAACAAGATCACTCAAACATTTCACAGAAGCAAATCATCGAACAATATAAACTCAAGAGAAAACGCTCGCTATTCATATAATGCAACGCAGACAATACATAAAAAACTAAAATCAGGATCCATGTGTGAGGGTATCAAAGATGCAAACATAGAGTGCTATCCTGATCATCGTTGAGTCATTTCCTTTCGTTATGCCCTTATTTTCCACTCCAGAGGCCATCCCCTTCCATCGCAAAATTGAATTGGGTTAATGACCTGCCATTGTGCCGCGCCAGTAGGCTGGCGAGGCTCCCATTAGGAATTAGTATCCTTTTTCCGTCTCAAAGAAAACGTCCCGCATGTCGTGACGGTGAATTTCGTGTATCCAAAGTAGTAATAATAATGACGATAGGTGTCCCAGAAATCCAGTCGTCCTCCGTCCTGCGGCTCGGTGAAATTGTAATATGTTGGTGGTGAATCGAATGAAGTACTGATGCCGGCAGGTAAATCGTTTTCCTGTATAGTTCGAACCATTCTTTGTTTGGGCGCGAGCCCTGTAACCATGTAGCATGCTGATGATGCAGATAACAAAAATGAAAATGAGTAAATGAATAAATATATGCTTGTAAATATATATGCCGGTTGGTTTGAACCGGTTAGATGCTGGAAACTCGGTCTGGAGCACGGCCGCAGCATACCATGAGCTTCAGGCTTGTTCCAAGTTGCTCGCACTCTTTGAGGAGCTGCTTGTCGTTCCAGATAGTTGCGGTGGCTGTTGGGTCGATGGCGGTTTCGTAGCAGCGCGTGTACCACCACCGCCCAACACGGGCCACCATTTTGGTGATGCTCTCATCCGCAGTAGAGCTGTTGTCACTCATCATTTCCGAGAGGCTGGGTTGGCTCTTCTTGGTTTTCTTCTCTGTGCCTATCTTCTCATCGCTGACATGGACGCCAGCATTGACTTTGGAGATGGGACTGGCCACAGGAACACCAACCCGAGCGGCCCTGATGTTCGAAAAACCTGCTTTCCCGATGTGGCGAACGATCAGATCTGCGGTTGACGCCAGGTTCATTTCACAGTCTGATTCATGAATTCGCTCCTTCAACTGTCGGACTGCCCTTCGGCCGAGCTGGCCCATGTTGTTGAGATCGAAGTCAAGGATGGAGAGCTCTAGATAACCACCCGGCTTCAGAACACGCCGTGCCTCGCTGAGGATGTTGCGGTAGTGAGACTCTGGAGCAGCGATGGGGAAACGGTACACTACAGCAGTGAAGCTTTGGGGAGCAAAGGGAAACTTGTCCAATGCGGAGGTGTACTGGATCTGGTGATGATTGGGGGGGCTGAGAGGGAAACTTGAGGACGAGTTTCGAAACTCCGCTGGTAGAGGCGCGCGCGGAGACAGGTTGAAGAAGCTTGCCTGTGGGTATGTCTCTGCGGCGTAAAATGACCAGTCATCGTTACCAAGGCCATCGATCACCAGAACACCAGGGCGCTGGAGAGACCCCGTCTTGCTTATCAGTTCATGGCGAACGTCACTGAACAGAACGTGTCCGAAAGTGAGCCACTTGCTGACAGTCATAGAACCAACACGAAGATTGACCTGAGACAGAGGCGATCCATCATCTGCGGCGGAACCGAAGCTGGAATCAGAATTTCGCTCTGGTACAGGTGACAGGCTATGGCGAACCATTTTGTCACTTGCTCTCCTCTCTAAAGGCAAAGATTCACTCTCTTCCTCTTCAGCAGGGAATTCCTCAGACGGAAGTTCGGGGCTGTCATGAGGTTGAAAGGCAGCTCGGATCCTCTCCGTCATATCGGCGCTGTAACAACTTGAGTTTGTTGGCGCAAGCGAATACGTTGACTGCTGGCGGCCGTCCATTATGATTGTGGGTGACTCCATCGGCTTATCCCGGAGGGCATTGGCTTTGTGAGGCGACAAGGGGAAAGGGGCCGCTCTTGGTGAGATTATCGACGAAGGAACCCTGATAGCGTTGTCTTCGCCTTCTCCAAGAAGATCATTGTATTCATCCCATATCTCATCCTCCGTAGGCGGATTATTGGGTTGCGGAATGACGGCGGTGGAATCATTGAACGAGCATGCGCCGGAGCTAGAGCTTGTGCCAACTGTGCACTCGGAGTTCTTCCGCGGAGAGAATCGGATGAATTCTCTTTCTTGGCTTCCAGACGCGGGATAGTTTTTGGCTGCGGATTCGGCTAGCGATGCGATTGACATAACCTCGTCCGTGGTCAATGCATTGATTGCTGGCTCGGAAGGTGGCTCTATCGGCGTTTCCAGGCCCGTAGCCACAAAACTTGGATCCAAGTCGACAGAATCCTGTGGGCTGAGGGTCATGCTACGGCGGAATGGGCGAGAAAAGCTGTGAGGAGATAGAGGAGGGTCATGACGATGGCTCACCACCCTGGGTATTCTTCCGACCTGCTTCAGGCGGCTTGGACGGCCAGAGCTGAGAGATGACGAGGCTCCGGCTGGAGGAAGTCCGGTGTCGTAGTCTGACATGAAGGCCGGAGCGGGTAATGGAAGGTCGCCATATGCCTCTTTCGGTGAAGGGGGTTCCAAAACCAGGGAGGTCGAAGATTGAGTAAAAACCTCGGCGGTCCGAAGGATATCCCGGATATCTGTGGCCTCAGAATTGTCTTTCTCTGGGGAGTCTAGCATTGCATAAAAGGCAACGGACTTGTTTTGAACAGGCTCAAGCGCAGGAGGCTTTGAGTCGGCCTTCTTTGCTGGACTTTGCGATCTACCAAACAAGTTCCACTTGCGTGGTGATCGAGACCGTTTTGCCGGCCTCTTTGAAACTCCGAAGCCGGCATCACTATCATGAGAGATCTCGCGCTGTAGTTCCCCGAATGACTCGTCAGACATAATGCTGGCGTCAAAGCTGGTCATGGGAGACGGCGCCATAGCGCTTGTAATTATCGGCTGAGGAAGACTGATGGGGCTATCCGGTGATACTCTGAGCTTATGAGCAGATCGACGATATGCAAGTGTAGGCCGCACGCTTCCACTGTCAGAATCGCTACTCTCGGAAGGGCGCCGAGACCTTGGGTCAAGCCGAGGCACCCGAAGGCTATTTGGCACATCTGGTCGAGAAATCGTGGCGTCTCCTGGCCCCGAAACCGAGTCAAAACTCTTCTGGCTCATAGCAAGACTCTGGTTGCTCTCAGTTCGAGAAAGCTCTGAGCTGGTATTGCGGTTTTCAATTATCTCGCCTCCCGCAATCACCACCGGGTTCATCCTATCAGCAAAGAAAGAGTCTGAGCTTCCCAGACTGTCCTGAGACGTTTGGTGATCCGAAGCTGTTCTGGAATGGCTGCCACTTCCGCTACGACGGCGAATATTCCCTACTCTCCCATAACCTTCATGGCCAGTACCGGCAACTGGGCCCTTGCGAGCAATCTTGGGGCGTTTGTCCGTCTCCTTTTTGGTTGATTGAGCATTCGAGTCAACGCCACTTTGGGCAGCCTTCTTACGCCCAAGGCCAAAGAAGGGGAATCTGAACGAGCTTCCACTAGATGTAGGAGCACTGGAGGACTTGAGTGCGTCAGTTGTGTCTGCTCGTGTCTTTCCCTTGGCTGGTATATTGATAGGCTTGGGCGCGGAACTGATTTCGCGGGACGTGGGCAATTGCGAGGTGGAGGCGTTCCTAGTCTTTGAGTGCGACTGGACACCCTCAGAGGTACTTCCTCGTCTCTCGCCAGGGAGAGACGAAGACGAAAGATTGCTATGGATGATTCGTACAGGGCTTCGGAGCTGGGATTGAAAATCTGGGGTTCCGTCTCGGCTGGGTCGTCGAGGAGCGACAGGCGGCTTATTTGGCGAAGTGGCGGCGCGTGGAAGCGACGGGATGTTTGATGTGTTGCGCGAAGTAGAGGGGGATTTCACGTTTGCCTTTCGTGGTGGCGTTTGAAGAGCCTCGTCTCCATCTTCTGAGTCTCGGCGAAAACCTTGCGATGATTTTCTTGGAGGAGGACTCGGCGGAGGCGGAGGTAAACGCCGCTTTTGTTTCTTCTCCTTGTTATTCCTGTCTCCATCCTTGACAGTGGAGCTGGAAGAGGATGAGTTCAAAGACTCTCTCACAGCTGCCAAACCTTGAGGGTCGACCGCATCGGTCTCGTTTCCACTAATCCATCGGCTTACTGGAGGTCTTGTCTGGTTTGGGCTGAACTGGCGGTCTTTGAATACATTGGCCCGATTCGGAATGGTGATCCCGGGTGAATGCGAGGAAATCGACGTCGGCGTCGTTTCACGGCTGTACCATCCTGGCCCAGGAGATCCTGAAAATTTGGTTGACGGACTTGCACTCAATTGACTACTGCTTCCTGAAAATGGCAGGCTAACTGGCGTAGGTGGTGGTAAGTCGTGGGTTGATAACTTGTAAGGAATATCAGCGTATGCATCGGAGGGTGGATTGTATGCACGATAATTGCGATATCTGTCAAGCTCCGGGTAGATAACTGGAGATTGAGTTAGGCCTTCCATAGGTTCAGGAGACTGCATCAGGTCAACCTCGGCATTTTGGTAATCCGATTGCTGAACAAAAGAAGTGTAAGGTGAGGCATCCACAGGTTCGTCAAACCGGGCTGCGGGCCGAAGTGGTTCCATGGTTTGGTGTTCCTGAAAGGCCTTTGCCGGAGTCTGGGATACCAGTGACTTTTTCCGTCGCAAGACATTCCTAGGAGGCCTTTGACTGCTTTCATAGGATCTTGTAGAGGCTGATGAAGAGGATCCGCTTTGAGTGTGTGAGTTAGAGGTCGCAGACGCATTAGTACTCTCAGAACCCCAAGACGTTGACTGTCTTGCTGGTGAGAGCTTGGGTGTTGCTTGTGGCCTGGCTTGTGGTCGAGTTGAGGCT